TCAATTACAGCTTCAAAGAATAGGGCCAACTTTTTGGAAAGCAGCCAGTTCCTAAAGCACACCCTATGATATTCACATTTTTCTTAAAATCAGATTCTTTTCTATGAGCACATAATCTCTCAAAAAACAAAATTAAAATATATTTGTAGCCCTGGTGACCACAGAGTAAAGCATTCAGCTTTGAATCTACTACAGCTCAGGTATTCAGGAAACTTAGGAGATTAAGAACACTGTAAATTTTATTTCTTTAAAAATCTCCAGTGCTATGGGAAGTAAGAGGATTTGATAGGTGTTATAATCATCAGGGCTGGCAATAAAATCTAAAGTATGAAAATACTTCAGACATTATACCCCTAGTCTTATACTGTGTTAACGCAAAATCAAGTTCTTCCCTATGACCTCTCAAATAGCCTGATTTCCTATTAAGAATGCCACCACAATAATTTAAGTATCTGAGTGTATCTGAGACATACACTTGTCAGATTACCTGCACTTCTTTTTTTTTGTAGAGATACCACTTTTAATTTAATAATCAATTACAGTTTTTTACTAAGTAGTCCGTAAGCAGAATCTTGAACTTAGGACCTTCAACCACTCCTCAATATTCTCATGAAGTTGAAGTCCTGGGTAATGACCAAAGATTGCTCTTCATTGTGTGGAGACCATCCTGGGGTTAGAGATTGGTCATACATGCCGGTAACTTGAGGACTGTAAGGACATTCAGCAGGGAGTGAAAATGCCCACAAAAATGAGCAGTGAGTGAATATGGGTGACTGAGCCTCAAACTCAGAGCAGGAAACAAACAGGGAGGGACTGAGAGGCTCCTGAGATGAGAAAACCAAAGGGAACGAGACGTCACAAATTGACCAGAACTGTGGTTAGCAGGGCAGAATTCTCTGTTGGCTGGTAACTCACAGCCTGTTTCCAAACTGAAAGGATTCAACTGAGGCAACTGAGGCCAAGACAAAAAGGTTTTAAGGAAAACCAGCAATGATGTAGAGGTGAGAAATACAAGAGGCAGGGAGCTGAACAGTAGGGTTTAGGAGAAAGTCTAAGCTGTGGGGCAAGATAGCTGCTAAATCTGGAAATCCAAATTTATTTAGCCATGGGGTTTTTCTGTTCCTGATACCTCTTGGATGCAACAATCCAGATTAGATTACTGCAATGCACTCTACAAGCGGCTACATACTACAACTCCTTGGAAACTGAAGCTAGAACAAAATGCTTATTAAGCTTTTTTTCACTCTAGGAGTATTACACCCCCACTTCAGGATACACACTGACTGCCAAAATGTTTCCAGGTGGAAATTAAGAAAGATTGCCAACTCTCAAGCCAAAACTGAAGAGAATAAATTTAAGTTTTTTGTGCAAAACTACAAAATTATCCTTTTTTCCTGTTTTTTTAAAGACTAGTAAAAAATGGTTAATATATATGTTATTGACATAGCAGCACTCAATCCCCAGAAATTTATTTATGTCAAATAAAATCAGATGCACCAACATAACCGGGGATCACACCATGACCAACTGTTACAAGAACATGTATATGGGCAGATGAGAGTTAGAACCTTCCTACTGTTTATGAAGTTCCCTTACAACTTGACCAGAGTTAGGTCTACACAAGGATAGCAAAAAAAGGTCACCCATTTATGCCTCTCCCTAGAGAGCAGAAAAAAAAAAAAGAGGGAATCAAGGCAAAAAGTGGCTGGAAATTTGTTCCCTAGCAGCAGCCAGACCTAAACATTGCACCTGAAAAAAGGTGCTCAACCAGTTCCTTCAATAGATCCTATCCTTCACTAAGTCCACAGTTATGGCAGGATGGGAAATCAAGTAAGCTTTATAACAAAAACATCATATAAAAAAATGTCAATACCTGAACAGGAAAGTTTCTCATAAAAATTACACCTATTTCAAACAGGATGTGTGTCTTCAAGGTCTTCCAAGAACATGCTGGCACACCTTTCTCTTTACAAAGGGTACAGAAATGTCTTATTCTTTGTTACAAACATGTATTCCAGTGCCCATGTACATTCTTTTGTGGACATATAATAGCATGCATTTCTCTATATTAATGTAGCATGTAGGTTACAAAATCCAGTATTATCTATATTATCTACATTAGCTGTAGAAAAGAGGAATGTTTTAAATTCACACTGTTCAACTGTCTCTGCCACTCAGGAAGTTGGGAGAAAACTCCCTCCTTAGCATTCAGCAAATTAAATGGTATTTATGCTACAATATGCACAACTTCTTCATCTTCGAAACTAAAAATGCCCTCTGATGATTTGTAGGTTTATTATTTTCCCAGTTTATTCTGGGCTTTTAAACCACATGTTGTATTATAGTCACATATCTAGAATCTGTGTGTAATATTGAATGGGAAATGCAGGACTCCATAGCACACAGCAGTCAAACTGCTGCACAAACGAATGTTGTAAAGAGGGGTAAATAACAACACAAAAAGTAAAGAAAAAAAATAAAACCCATTATTAAAAAATGTAAGATAAAACAATGCCTAGAGTTCACTCATGATTACCCTTGGCTGTGCTGTTCTCAAAGATTATTTTAGCAAGGATTTTGCTATGAATCTCCTATTTGCTTCCTTTACAAGTAATCTGGGCTAATTGATCACAGAGTCTGTGGAAATTTTGGGATGACAGCACTTCAGGGGAACACCTATTCTGAGTCCAGCACAAGATGAAATAAAGCTGTATTCATTTAACCTGTTCTTAAGAAACCTCCAAGAAAGGACCTTCCATTACATGCATATGAAAGAATGTCCACATTTTGTTTCCACTTACAGATTCATTAGGCTCATTGTGAAAAAGTCTTCTTCTTAACAACTAACCTAGTTATTCTTGGCAAAATTAAATTTACTGCTCCTACCCTTTCTCCATTGGGTACTGGTATACAATTGATCATTGTCTTCTTTACAACAACATTTTATGTATTAGAAGACTTATGTCTCCCTTTGGTACTTTCTAGACTAAACAAACCATGTTCTTTAAGCCTTCCCCACAGGTCATGTTCTCTAAAACTTCTATCATTCTTGTTGCTCTCCTTTAGTCCCTTTCTACTCTATGTTTCCTAAAGCATGGAGATCAAAACTGTAAACAGCTTTTCAGATGAGCTCTCACCAGTGCTCAAAGGAACAGAATAATTGCTTCCTTCTTCTTCTCCAGATATCTATCCCAGAATTAGATCCAGCTTCATTGCAATGGTATTCCACTGAGCAATTTAGATTCCTTTTCCCATGCTATTACCTCATCAGCACATGTGACTTCTCCCCTGTAAGCAGACTTGTCTTTGCCGAATTTCAAATTACTTATTCTAGACTCTCTCCAGTTTATCAAGACTGGAGCAGCTTATTGAGCAGTTTGACAGTTCCTACTGTTCTTGGAGCTTCTTACAGCTTGATTCATGATCAACAATATTAGCGGCATTTCTATTTCACTATGGAAATAATCTCTAAAAAAATACTCCACAGCATCAGATAAAGGACAGATCTCTTTGGAACCCACCTGTAACCAGCCCTCCAGTTTGAAAATGAGCAATGGAAAATTTGTCCATTGGTTGTACACCCATCTCATGGCAATCTCATAATTGTTTAAATTTAAAAATACCATTTTTAATTAAAGCTTTAATTATTGCAATCCATTTTACATTAGTTATTCATTGCATTACAACATTATGTATTTATTTGCATATTACAAATATCCAGTGGGACAGTGTTAAAGGCCTGATGAATTAAAAGCTACCACTTTCTGCTTTAACCACAAAACCCGTTACCCTATCAAAGAAAATTAGATTTGCTTGACATAATTTTCCTTGGCAAATTAAAGCAGACTAAATATAGGATGGGTATGCTAAACCTGAATTCTTTTTTAGAGAATAGCCCAAAACTATCATCTAGGAAAAAAGCTGAGAGTACAAGTGCTAGTAAATACTAGTAAAATAGCTACTATTTTATGTGCTCTATATTTAATCATGCACCTATTTCCACCATTCATATAACGCCTCAATGTTCTTGAATGTTTTCATAATGATTTTCCTTATGCTTCTTATCCATTCTCTTCCCTGAAGAAGCTGTTACCATGCATTGAAAAGCACTTGACCCTATTACATTGCCTTGTGGCTCAAATTTTATTCACAGGTTCAGGTTTCTTAAATTAGTTGAAAACAGTGTCTGGGTTTCAGTAACACTGTGGTGGTTATTACCTGCTTTTTCACATCTCTTGCCTTCCTTCTAGGGTTTTTTTCATTCCATTCCTTGCATTAAGCCAAAATCTTTTTTATTTTACAGATATTTCCATACAATTTTTCCTTCTTTTATAAACTGAGCCAACTTATCTCTGTTAATCAGAAACAGAACCAAACCAAGACAGCAAGTCCTTAATTCCCTTCTCCTCTTTCTGACAGGAAAAATTGTTCTTAACACATTCCAAGAATTCAAAGGATTATGTGTTATGTTGTTCAGGTTTGTGGTTTGTGATTTTGGATTTTTTTCTTTGTATTAGTATCCAAGAAATCATGTTTTCTCATTCTTACCTGTTCCTGACTCTAACATAATTCCATTGGTCATTCTGTAAAAAAGTGTAATTTGCCTTTTATCTTCTTTCTCCCAACTAAGCAGTCTATCATACATCCCCATTGTATTTTCATCCCTGTTTTTCCCCTTTTATTTCTACCCAGACATTATGACCTATTTTAGTATCAAAAAATGATTTTTTCATATAAAAACAATGTTAAATTTTTTCTCAGGCTCCTTCATCTGAAAATGAGTTTCTTGTTTCTACAGACTGTTTTCTACTCCAGAAAAATAAGGCATCAGACAAAAAGCCAAAATTTTAAACTTTTTCAGAGTGGAAATAAATACCAGAGCTATTAGTTTCAATTCAAACAATGCATCATTACTGTTTAGTTCTTTTGAAAATTTATTTTATTCTGAAATAGTAAAATAAAGAAGTTATAAAACTGTGGGTGAAAAAGAGGTGACCAACCTGGTCTGGAGAGGGTCTGTGGTTGTGTTGTGTCCTCCCAGGAGATCGATGGTGGTGGTGGTGGTGATGGTGGTGGTAGTGGTGATGGTCATCATCATAGTTATCTGCCATCAGCTTCATTCTGTTTTGGGTCTGTTTAGGATGTAAAGTAAGACACGTAAATTTTATTATACGTTGGAATGGATTATTCTGACAGTGTTTTAGGAAGATCTTGGCCCTAGGGTTTTTTAGGAGTTTTTTTTGAGCTGAAGGATCCAAGGATAGAAATCCAGACTGCTGGCTCACAAAAAAAAAGGAAAGAGAAATAGAAAAATAAAGCATGTGAACACATCCTCTGTTTCAGGTTTCACATCCAGAGAATGGCATGAAGAAGTCAGAAAACTAAATGATGATGGATGATGTGTTTGAAGGGCAAAAGATATTCAGCTTTTCAAATATATTATTTTAGAGCTGTTTCCTATTTTTTTCCAGTCTAACATGTATTAGAAATTAACTTAAATCTCACTGAAAGGTATATTAAGTGTACTTCAAATATTTACAGTTAGCTACCAAGGCATGTCAGCAACAATCATGAGTAGTTGTTCTAAAAATTCTATTTTGGGTAATTAATTTTAATTATACACCAGCATCACCCTGCTAAACAATAAGTAAAATGAATCTGAAAACTAAGTGATAGAGACACAGGCACTTAGAGAAATAAGTGATTATGGAACTTGACACATTACTGAATGGATGTACGTCTACGATATAGATCTTGAAAAAGAGATCAACACTTCAGCTACAGCAGTGTACTGATAATAAAATCTATGTCACCATGGGACAACAAGATACATTGCTGCTCTTTATCACTGTTACAATTATTCCATACCATGAAATACATACACTGGAATAATTCAAACCTTGCTCATAACACCAAAAATATCTTACTACCAATAGTCTGATACCAATGGATACAGTCATTATTTTTTTTGTGGTACCAGGACTGAAGACTCCCTGAGGCAAACCTGTCAAACAGCAATCAAGTTCTAATAAATTTTGCACTAACAAAACCCAGAAAAAAATGCTTTCAACTCCCAAAGATCTCTTCCAAAATTAAAATAATCAGTTAGAGGAATATGCAATTAATACCACATAGATGACTGAAGGAAAGACACTCGATGTCATGCTCCAAGGCAGCAGGATCCACGGTTAACCCCAGTGAGGATGGGAGCTAAACACATCCCCCAGGACTTTGCCCAGATTAATGGGTTCCAAAGGAGCAACATAAGCAGACGAATTTGAACACAAGTCATTTGTTCAGTATGTTCCCATATTCACTGGTTTAACTGCCTTCCAATGCAAAGTGCCCATGAGATAACGCATGTCCCATAGCTAGTACATGGTAAATTTACTGACCTTACTTTGAGAGGCTGCTGTAATTTGGTTTTCCTTTGACAACAATCTTATATCAAAGTCTCTGAAAAATTTTACTGGCAAATATATTTTAATTAAAAATTTAAAACTCTGAGATTGCTATTAAATTCCCCAGCTTTAATGTGTTTTGCTGAAGTTGAAAAAGGAATTAAAAAAAAACAAGCAAACTAAATATTTGCACTACATAACATTTCAACTTTAATAAAGCCTAATGCAAGGAAAACAGCCACAGAATCCTAGGAAATCCTGATGTGCCTTTTCAGCAATGAATTTTTTTTCAGTTGTCACAATGTTTCTCAAGCACTTCATATGATGTTCAAGACAGGATCATAGAAAACTGCTTTACAGGAGGGGAGCTGTACTCAGTTCAAGTAAAAAGAACCAACTACTCCAACCAAACCCTCAAGGCATCCATAACAAAAAGATAGAGGGAAAATCTCAGGTCAGATGTGCACTGTCAGACTTTCTGAGCATCTCCATAGCACTGGAAGAGGATTTTCTCAGTATGTTATAGAGAAGAATCTGCACAGTTGTAGATATTTCATTTTCTCCCTCCCAAATACAAAGATGGAAGTAAACAGCTGTATTAATTTCAGTTGTGATTTTCTACCAATTTTGCTAAAAAGATCATCTCAATCTGGATCATCATAGTTGTCTGTTTGTCTTTAGATTCAAAGAGGAAGGCCCTTCGAACAAAAGAGTAGAAAAGATGGAGAATTAATAGACAAATAATCAGCCTCTTACTATAAACACTGTCATACCCTGCCTCTTTGGGGAAGCTCCTAAAATTTTATTAGTTTATTTTCTTATCAATGAACAGCCTTAAATTTCCTACCTTTCAACTGTATTCCATAAAGAATGCAAAAGTTAAACAAGATGATATATGCAATCCTATAAGTGTCCTCTGTAATGAGGTGTTGGGGATTAGGCGTGTCATGGGATAAGAACTGTAAATGAATGATGTCATCTTTCTAATTTGGTGCTGAAATATAAATAAACTACTTCTAATGTTTCTTCCTTTTGCATGCCAGATTGCAGTAAAAAGTGCACAAAGAAATGTTAATGCTCTAGTAGCCTTCCTTTAGTGTGACTGTTCTGAGAGCAAAATATACAAGAAATATGAAAAGAGAATTACTTTTCCACTCAAGTAACCATCAAACCATCTAAACTTCAACATGACTTGTAACTGTCATTAATTCTTAAAATTATGCAATTTATCTAGCAAAATATTAAAAGCTTTTTATTTTTATTCGTTAGCTCTTCAAATGATAGCAAATATAATTTTGACATTGTTTGTCTTTGCTTTAGCTACTGCTAGTGCTACACTTCCACACTGAACTGTATTTTCTAGGTATGCTTAGCTTTGATTTAACCAGTACAAACACCTTATGATGTCAAACATTTAAAAGCAAGACTTTTGAAGAGGAAAAGCAGGAGGATTTCTGGAGGAGAACAAAAGTAAAGCTGTCCTGAGGAACAATAAAATTCTTTTCACTTCCTTCTAAACAAAAATCTGTATCATTACTTCTGTTTGCTCCCTTTGCTAGCTTTAGATGTTTAGCAGGCTTTGAAATGCCAACTATATTTTTATTTGAGGAAGGAATTAATTAACCACATTGGAATTTGTTCAGGACCCCAGGGCTTCACACCCCTACACCTACATAGAGGCACATACAGAAAGGTGTGTACATGTGGGACACTGGTTTACCAGTCAGAGGAAAATCCTCATGGTCTGGCTGCCAGATCAACACATTCAGGGACTGCTTCAGTGCTGCCTGAGAGGGGAAAATAACACAGCGACCTGGCAATGCCATCACTTCCTGCAACATCTTCAGCATGCCTAAAAAGTTCCTATTCAAGGACTCACAAGACCTTTTCTTACATTCCTTAGAAAGCACAGCACATTACTCAATATGACTTTTCTGGATGATCAAGAAATTGAATCTTGAAATATGCAATTAATGAAAATTAGAGTGGTGATCACTCATGAATTCAAAGTAATATCTAATGTGCACCACTGGCTACTGTGCACAGGTCACACCTTATCTGAAACAGTTATGAACAGTTATGAAACAGTTCACAGGGTGAACTTTTATTCACATTCTCCTCTCGAACTTGAAAATGGGGTTTCACAACATTTACATAGCCAAAGTTCTGACAAAAAACTTGTCATGCCAACAGTTCTTGAAAATGTCTAGAGAAAAACAGACCCACACCTGAGAAGAAACAGATTTTAATTTTGATATATTCTAGAAAACAAGAACATGTTAACTTGTAAAATGCAATAATTAATTAACTCTGTCTCCTAAAGATCATGTATGGCCTTATTAGTTCTAGCCTAAGCAATGGCCTCAGATTTTTTTGCTCTTAATTTATCAACTACATTCAAAAAATACTGCCTCCATTTTGAAATGAAGGAATGATAGAGGAATTATAATCAGCTTAGATCTACCTGCACAGGTATATTAACCCTTAGGGCTTGAAACAATTGTCTTTGATCATTCAGTATCACTATTTGCTAAGCTGTCAAGGTCATGAATGGTATGTGTAACTGAATTTTTAACCCACTTACCAAAGAATTTATGACCTAGCACTGTAAGAAAACTGACAGATATTTCTCGTCCTCCCAAAAGTCTTTTGAGTTTAAGGAAGGATATACCAAAGTGAAATGAAAGTCTTTGATTGACTGGTAACAGACTAAATAGCTTAACAGCAATCTGTAACTGTAAAACTGTAATATTAAAACTGTCTTTTACAAAATATTTTAGCAAGGTGGCAATAGAGAACTATGCTTTCATCTGTCATCTGGATCAAGTTAACAATGAAACTCTCATGAATGAGGTTCAAATAAGGAAAAATAGTAAGATTTGTTGCTCTGGGATATAGCTGTAATACAATTTAAGAGCTATTACTTTCCTTTGGATTTTCTGCTCAGTCTCTCTTCATTTAATGGAATTTGAAATATTTCTAGAATATTCACTTCCAGTAGGGTAGGATTTTTTTTCCTATATGAGAAGGTGGCAGATATAAGGCCTGCAAGCTGTACTGGAGCTATCCAGTACAGGGATAGTACAGGGTCTAATTCTTAAAGCACAAAATTTAAAGTCTAGGGACCCACATTCTAGGTTTGATTGTGCCTCTTGTTGTCCTCAATGACACAGAAACTTTTCTTGCAATCTCACTGTTTGAAAATTAGTATTCTAATATTCCCACAAAAAAACTCTGAAAACTTCATGTGGCAGGTGTTTAGTTCTAGTCTTCATGATTTTTAGTAATAAGTGATTTTATCTGAGTTGTTTTTCTCCTGAGATTATTTTAGAAAACCGAAAAAAATTGCATTCTTCAGACTACAGAGTTCACCAAGTTTATCCAGAAGCTGTATGAACTAATTGGAATGAACCTAGATTTAATGAAAGAATGTGCAACTGCAACGGGTTTCCCTGTATAAATCCAGTGTTTCAGGTCTGAGTTGCATTAACAGAGGGTTAACAAAATATTTGCTAATTAAGCCAGCTCTGGCCTTAGTTTCTCCAAATAAAATCGGTTTTCACATTAGAACAATATGAAAAATGTTGTTGTCTGCAGAGAAGGGAAGAATTTCTTACCATGTCTACTGCTGCACAACTCAGAAGTTACTAACTGCCATGGAATACAACTTACAGTGGATTTGTTATTTGGCAAGTTACAGTTCATTAAATGTTGGACAGCAAATGTTGCAC